GTGGGTCCAAGTGTGTATATGAAAAGTCCAGAGAAGGGCTAAACTCACCCTTTATTATTTCAAACTAAGATAGATGACCCCTTTCTCGGGCTTACAGAAAAGCCTCTACTTGGGCTAGAAAATAAGATAAGAAAATAAGAAACTAATCTAAGGCTAAACTAAACTGAATTTAGCCAAAGCTGTACAAAATTATCTAACGTAGTTGGCTCTTAATTAAATTAACCGGCAAATATCAGCAGGCAGGTTAGAATAGTTAGATTTAAACAACGAAGTAGCCTGACGTCAAATAAAGGACTCCTAAGCTCTTCTCCTGAAGTAACCGAAACCTTCCTTTAAATACTTTTTCTACCTAATTTACATGCAACGCGATACTAAAAACTTATTCTGGTTGGGAATAGTAGGTGGGAAACGAGAATAGACAGTAAAACGTGTTTAAAAATTAAAATAACTGTTAGAAACTTAAAAATAACTAAGGAACCGCTACATAGTAAACGTAGAATTATTTAAATCTTTGTATATCCTTTTAGAGAAACTTACGAATAAAGACAAACACATTCAGATATATTCAAAACAGGGTAGAAATTAGATTTCTTAGTTTAAATTAAATTACTGTAAGTTGAAGATTATGTTTATAAAAACTACGACATGTTTAGAATTTCTACTTTATTCGAAATTATAAGACACATTATAAATATTACTCTTAAAACGTTCAAACGATTTTGAAGAAAACAAGAAATATACACAAGCTCGCAAATGTGTTTGGATACTTGGCAGTTTGTAGTAAAATTAGTATGTAATAGGATTAATTTAGAATATTTTAACTATATGTTTAAACAATATATTTATTCTCTACAAATCAATAAATAACGTTTGTCACAATAATCTCTCAACAAGTTAAAAAATTGTTTAGCTATGCAAGAAAGAAAAGTACGAAAAAGTTTTTGGGCGCCTTTATTTTCTAGAAAAATTTTAATTTATTCAAAAACCTCTTTGCTGGGTTTTTTTTTTTTCCTGCATAAAAGGTTCGATGTAAAATGGTTTCTCGTTTAGAAAACCCATCATTATTAAGAAGTCAGCAAAAATTAAATATTATTTAATTTTTTGATTGGATATTTTTCTCGAAATATGCTCTGATTTAGTTTGCTAGATAAAATCATGGAATGGTAATAATAAGGAATGTCAAATGATGTTAAAATATCTTTTTGAAAAAATATTAAATTTCTTAGAAAAATTATTAAAAAAAAATCAGTTTGCAACATTGACTGTTTTCAGGGTGGTGGTTGTTGTTGTTTTGTTCATATTACATGGAATAATGGTTGTACTGTTTTCAGTGTTGTTGTTGTCTTGTACATTGTTACATGGAATAATGGTTGTACTGCTTTCAGTGTTGTTGTCTTGTCCATATTACATGGAATAATGGTTGTACTGCTTTTAGTGTTGTTGCTGTTGTCTTGTCCACATTACGTGGAATAATGCTTGCAATGTTTTCAGTGTTGTTGTTATTGTCTTGTCCATATTACATGGCATAATGGTTGTACTGCTTTCAATGTTGTTGTTGTTGTCTTGTCCATATTACATGGAATAATGGTTGTATTGCTTTCAGTGTTGTTGTTGTTGTCTTGTCCATATAACATGGAATAATGGTCGTACTGTTTCCAGTGTTGCTGCTGTTGTCTTGTCCACATCACATGCAATAATGTTTGCCAGAGCCTACTCCGAAGAGAGGTTGGACTTCTAATTTTTACCCTCAATTTTCAGGGAGAGCACACCGGGGGAAGATCCGGGGTTCTCTCACCCCTCTCCCCTTCCACCAATCTACACGAGAGGACTTTCGACCCGCCGCATATTTAGCACGCCGCACCGGCACAATACATTTACAAAAGGAATTCTAAACCAGGCCCTTCGGTATCGGAGTAAGTTCCTCTAACCACTGTACCATCTGAACGATGTTTTCAGTGTTAAAAAAGCAGTTTAAAATTTCTAAATAAAAAACGATTTTACACCAAATCTTCTTTGCAGAAGTAAAATTTCATTCTTTGAAAGTGTTTTTGAAACTGGTAGTTCAGTCCAGGGTTCAAGTCCCGGTGAATGGGCCTTTTCGTAGATTTCCCCATCCCCATCTGTTACATGGATACGAGCCAGTTTCTCTTAAAAAAACCTCCACGGGTCATCCCTTCCTTTTCGTGTAGTACCTAAGGGTGGTGCACGTAATAAGTAAAAGAAAAAAGTCCCATAGATTTCTCAAAAATTGAATGAAAAATTTGGTAGATGAATTTCTCCTTAATTTGAGAGAATACTTGTAAAATCATTAGCAATAATTTTGTGGGAAATAAGTTTAGAAAATCAGCATTTTATTGCGGGAAGTCAATCTTGAGGACGTCCCAGGACACATCCCATTTGCATGTGTTGACAATTAGAAGAACGTACTTCATTCTTCAAGCTGTAGTTAGATCTAAAGTCTATCATCGGCACTCTTCAAGAAGAAAATTTTTTACATTATGAAAAAAAAAAAAAAAAAAAAAAAAAAAATCAGGTACTTATTTGCAAATAGAAAGACAGATATCACACCGACATCACTCATATCATCTTTGACAGTGAGAGAAAAATTAAAAGTTTTCAGTGCTGACGAAGAAAGAAACGAAGAGAAGAATGTGATACTAATAATATAATATGACGGTAGAATGTGTTTTTGTTGACTTGGCATGAAATGAAGTTGTATGACTTGCAGCGACTAGGTAACTTGGTTTTTACTGGAACCATAACGGATCAATTAAAGTAACTAAACATTTAAAAGAAAAACTGGACAACATCAGCCACAACACTTGATATCAGAAAAAATTTCTTTGTAAACTCTAAGAGAAAGAGCTTTAACCCTCTGACTGCTCAATTTGTGGACCGAAATCGCTTCCAAAATTGCGCTTTTTTTTTTTTTTTTTTTTTTCTATATATATATAGGAGAATTGAAAAATGCACTTTTTCTTTCTAGAAAATATTTTTTATATAGATTTTTATCATGAGAAACTAAGTTGCTAGAAAAACAATTTTAGATGTTATCACAAGAAAAATCTTTTTATAAATAAATTTCAGTCGAATTACAGTTAATTTATATTTATTGCATAATATAAAAAAGTAAAATTTAAGAAAATATTAAGCGCTGAGGGAAAAATACCTTAAAAATGCAGTTTAGTATGATAGAGTTCAAACTTCACAGTCTTTCAACCAGATTCAATAAATCTAATTAATAATCAATCCAATTATTAATCTAATCAATAATTCAATAACTTAATTAAATAATTAAGATAGTCGCTGAACGTTTTCTAGCAGCCATTTCTGTAAGCAAAAAGTGAAAATTGAGCGTTAACACCACGTGCCTTCAAATGCCGCAATTTAGTGGACAACTAACGATATATATTGGCCAAAACGCAAACTAAACACCTAATACTGTATATAATTTATTTCAATGGTTAAACGTGGAAAAAACGGGATTCGCTCCTCAAAAAGAGAAGAAAAACATATGCCCGCGGAAATCGCGGGATGAGCAAATTTTGCTACATTTGAGTTGCCCGTGGAAATCGCGGACCTAATCTCTAGTTTTGAATACAGTAAAATATATTTAGGCAAGAAATGAACAATATCGTATGATAAAAAGCTGAACTGAAAAAATAACAGAATAATATTGACGCCGAGGGTGTATAAAAATGCAGTGCACTCATTGCCAAATTAGTTGAAACGAATAATAAAAACAAAACAAAAAAAAAAAAATTGCTCTCGACACTAAACTTCTCGGAAGTAAACCAGTTTCTGAACGTTTTGAATAGACCCTACCCCCAGATATGCCAAGAATTTAACAGACTCCCTCCATCTGCTGCTGATTTTTTATTTTTTAGTCCAAAGGGGCTTTGTTCCTGAGGGACTATTGTTTTCGTTTTGCGATTTTGCGTCGAATCACTCTGAATGTCCATTTCACTTTTCAAACTGTTGCCACCAAGTATTTATCGTTCTGTATTAGATTTGAAAAAATTAAATAATGAAGAATCTGCATAAATGTATGCATGTTTCTTGCATTGCAATAAAACAGCGGTACCTAGAGCCATCCAGTTTTGAATGACGTAATCCTACTGCGAATATGGGCATATGGAAGCCCAAATTTGAAATCTGGAATTTGTTTTATTATCGGTTTCATATTTTGTAAAACTTTAACGAATTTTTTATTAACAAACTCAAGGATTTCAAAGCGAGCAACAGCAACGTTGTACGGAAAAAAAACTCTTATCTCCAGCGCGTGAGACTATCTATCGCAAATTCTAAAGATATGCTCAATTTAAAATTATTTTGCAATATTGCTGTTGAAGTGAATTTTATGGTTTAAAGGCGAAGAACATGGTATTTAATAAATACCGGTAACACACAAAAAGTTAAAAAAACGCCCCTTTGGGCGTAATTTAAAATCTGAAACCTTTCAGATTTTCTTTTTTCTTTAATTTTAAAATTATTTTTTCGATAAAAGAAATGCTTTTAATAATTTTAAATATTCACTTTTTAGGCAGTTGTAAATTAAAAGATAAATTAAGCATCCTATACCACGTCGAATGTTAATAGGCTTCATAAAGATAAAGTAGAGGTATGGTACCTTGTGCAATCACTTGCTGGCTCATGTGAATGGAAAACTCGCATAACGTAACGTATCGATTTTTTTTTTTTTTTTGAAAGATTCCTCTAAATACATTCGAAACGTTCATACAACAAACAGTAATGAAACTTTAGGACACTGCATTCATGATTAAATAGAAAATGTGCGTTTCATGAGATAATCCGAAAATAGGATAAAACCGATTTTATCTATGAAAGAAGAAATGCCGTAAAGTGAAAAGGAATTGAGATATGCAACAAGTGAATAAATTAGGAAACGCTCCCGCTAACGTTTTCAAGGTCCAGACTGTGCAATGAATGGGAGAAAAAAAAGAAAAACTGAAAAGAAACTCGTTTGTGTACAAAGTTCGTGCTATGGCAACTTACGGGCTTTGTCAAGGAAAGAAAATGCGGCAGACGGTTTCTGTTACTCATTTACAAACGTTTGAGCCGTTATGGATCCGGATCGCTTTGTGTTACTTTCCAGCGGTTACCGCATGCCGATTATCGGATTAGGTATGTTTCAGGTAAGATTCGATATTAATGTCACTCTTTGTTTGAATGTTTTATTCTGTAGGGAAAATTGCCTCGTAGATCTTATGAAAAGAATTTATGATCAAATTTTCCTCTACACTTTTTTTTCATAAAATTTATTCGTATTATATGATAGTGTTACATAACATATTTTTCCATTTATGTTAAAAAACGACTTGTATTTCTTTTTACACTTCACGTTTCGCAGCTAGATCTTTTCTGAACAATCTCTTGTCTGAATTCGATTTGAAAAAACACTTTAATGCTCAGTTAAATAATTCAGTAAAATGGCATCGAAATAATCATGGAATAGGGAAATATTTTTACAATAAGTTTTTATTTTTAGGTCATAAACATGTACAGAGAAAACAGAGGACAACATGTCCTCTGTTTTCTCTGTACATGTTTATATATTGTTTATAACTTATATTTAAATACCTTTCGAATAAAAGAAAACATAATTACTTTTGCTGTTGCCATTTTTAGATGAATAAATGTTGTGTTTAAAAGTATTTATTCAATGTGGCTCGGTATCTAATACTATTAGTATGGTAATTTTCAGCTAAGTATTTAGAAATAATCTGCAAATGAATTAAACACAGCTATTATATTTATATCGAAAAAGAGAAAAATTTCTGTAATTAAAAGTAAAACTACTTAATATTTTTTTGAGCTGCAATTAAGAATGAAATCGAAACGATTACCGTATTTACCGGCATACAAGAAGCACTTTTTTTCTTTGAAAATAGGTATGAAAAACGGGGTGCGTCTTATGCGTCGATACTCAATTTTTGATTACATTTATTTCTGTAAATTTTCTGTATTCGAAGTTATGCGATGTTTTTCTTGTTTCCTTGCGGAGTGTGGGAATATTACATTTACGTAGAGTTCAGTGAATGCGCATGCGCTATCATCGTCTATTATAGCTAAATTCGTTTAAACTTTCCAATTTTTGCGAAAGACTTTTAAGTGTGCGAAATTTCTACTATTCAGTTTTCTTAAATTTATTGGCGAGTTATGGTTCAAATACAATGTCGGCATTGCTATAACATAGCATACAAGCTACGTGTGATTGCGCATGCTAAAGAACATGGAAACAGGGCTGCAAAGGGACATTTCAGGCCACCCTCAACCGGGAAGATGATTTAAGAACTTAGTGGAATCAGAAAGAGGATTTAAAAAATCAAGTCAGAGATTGGGTATTTGCAGAAAGTATTACCTTGTGTTTGTATTATTTTATATTTAAAATACTACAAATTCATTATAATGATCAGTAATAAAGTTTTATCTCTCAAAGATGTGTATAAAAAGGAGGGTGCGTCTTATACGCCGGCAAATACGATAATTCAGGTATGCTACAGAAACACAGTGAACTTATTTATGTTGCTGAAATTAATGAAAGCTATAACGATAAATCCAAACTATTTAAAAATAGAAACTCATCGTAGTAATCCCTCTAAAATTGTCTCTGATGGAAAATTTCTATTTCTTCTTATAGGAAAAATAATTTTTATAGGAATTTAAATTGCAATTAATAGACTACAAGTTTCTATATTATTTCCTTTTCTTTTCAGTTCACTGTAACCGTAATACGCTTACTCTCTGAATATCTATTTTACAATATTTTATGTTAAAAACGATATGCTAAAGCATATATTAGAGCTTTTAATTATTTTTAAGTTACAATTTTATACACCATTAAAGATGTAGTTTTATAAAGTGGTAAAACAGATGTTTGTTTCATTTAGAAAAAAAAAAAAAAAAAAAAAAAAAAACGGGAATAATTGTATTATTTTCCATTTTCCATTCTTAAATTTGTGAAAAGTTTTAATGGTTTCAGGTGTTTTTATTAGGTGTTATGCTGTAAGCTCATATTTTCAGAACGCCTTCGCTTATCCGACATACCATCGTAAAAAAGAGGCATCAGCCCGCTACAAAACTGCAAGCTGGAAATGTAGTCTTTTTTCCTTCCCTCCGACCTTATCGCAGGCAAGATACCCCCGACCTTACCTTTTCTCCCCGACCGAAGAATTTGTCGCTGTTGTCAATCGCGATGAAAATTAAATTGAAGATCAAGATCAAGCACCAAATTCTTTAGCGTCGCAGAATTTCGCTTAACAACGAAATTAAGGCCCTTAAAACTGCAGTTAAATACATTGACCAACTAGAAGAATCTATAAGAATCGACATAAGGGTGTTACAAATAGAACAAGACTTGGAAGCGAAGAAACAGCTCTCGTCGAGAAAGCAGGATACGGACAAAATTTTGTTGTCGGACTTAACTTTAGAAGTGATTTACGTACTATATTTAACTTCAAACGATCCTGTAACTGTACGTTCATTTTTTCAGGTAATGTTTTCTGTTTTGCTGTAAACAGGATTATTAGGCTCATACTATGCAAAATTAGGATTATTTAGGCTCGTAATGTGTAAAATTATGATTATTAGGCTCGTAATGCGTGAAATTATAACATAGTTTGATGTTTAACAGGCTTGTGCTTAACATCTCACAGTTATCTGACATTTTTGTTTATTCGACGTTTTGCCTGCTCGTTTATGTCGGATAAGCGAGCCTTTACTGTAATAAAATACGCTTGCGCTCGCTATCTGATTACTTCAATAATTTAAAGAGGGAGATGGATAGTTACGTGTATTGTTCTAACATACCTAGCTGCGGTAAGATAGCTTCCCTGAAAAGCAAAATTAGGGTTGCCAGAAAGTGGCAAGGAAAGGCAGAGTTGCCAGGTTGGGAGCGAAATCGCTCATTTGGCGACAAAATTGGCGATATGCCATGGACGGAGCGAGAACATTCTAGAAAGAATTCTTACCGGTTTCCCGAGAATGTTCTAGAAGGCAGGTCAAAAGCTATATATACCTGGCTTGACGCGGAGTATCTAGAGAATGTTGAGTTCAGTAGTAGTGTTTTGAATTTAGAAATTTGCTCGACAGCGATCGACCGAGTCGGGAGCTGTACTTTAGTGTTTTGCCGTGAAGCTGTCTTCAACGTTATAGCCTGAAGGCTATGTTGCTGATTATTTTTTTTGACGACTGTAACGGTTTTTTGACGACTGTAACGTGTCTTTGGAATAAATGTTTTGTGTAATACTGACGAATAAATTGTGTTTTGATTCTTCATCAAGTGTTGTCATTAATAACTCCTAATCCAAGAACCCGTAGAACGCAAAAATTTTTTTAAAAAATATGCTGTTGCAAGAGGGTTTTTTTTTTTTCCCCAGAAGGGAGGCAGGTATTTTCCGGAAGGGAGGCAGGTATACTCTTTTTTGCTTAACTACTCTTCCACTCCTAAATATGTGATGTATTTTATTGTACAGGAAAAGAATTTTATTCCCAGAATGCCGTAGAAAAACAGAACAGGGTCCTACTGAAAAAAATTCAGAGAACAACATTTGTTTTAGAAACAGCCGTTTATATTTCTTTCCAAAAACGAAAATAGAAATAAAATCTAGTCGCTGAACGTTTGTTTATTTAAAAATACATTATATTTGTTGCAACGGAGAAAGGACGCCACCTATTAAATAAAAGACGACACACATTCTACTCTGATCTCTGTATCAAGATTACTGGGTTGGGGGTTACCAGAATTAGTCAGCTATGTAATAGTATCTAAATGGCAATTCGCTTTTTAACTCAGTTTTGTCAAACCGATTGTCAAACTAAAGACTACAACACTTTAAAATTATGAGTTGTTTTCGCTTTATATTAATTTAATCTTCATATTTCTGAAGTGAGTAATGTGCATCATAAACTGAGGGTGGAAAACACAAAACAATTTAAATAGTTAAACTTAAAACAGAAATTTATCGAATTAAAGACAAAATAAAAGTTGCAATTGATATAACATTAACTTATCATCGTTCTAAAGTATATTAATTTAATAAAGAGGTAATAAAAATTTACAACCACAGACAATCGTTTACTGCCATTGACACTTTTTCATGTGTCAGAATTACCGGCTAATGTTATAGAACATGTGAAAATGTAAATGCTCTTAAAAAAAAAACTGGAAACTGTTATCATAATTTTATTGTATACTTTCTGTGCTTACCTATATTGTTATCTAATATAATATCGGCATTAGAAAAAAGTAACCGGTTTTAATACATTGACGCCAAAATGTATAAAACCGTGTTACATGGAATGCTTTTTAAATTAACATCAGTTCAAGAATATAATAAATTGTTTATCGTACTTAACTAGAATACTGACGTTCCAACAGCGATAAAGAAAAATAAATTTGAAAGCCTCTTAAGTAATTAATTTCGGAACTGAGTTAGAGACGTAATTAAATCTGATTTTAAGCTGCTTTCTGGGGCATTAAAATATCGTTTGCTTTCAAAGTTTAGCTGTCGGCTTTTGTTCGCAGTAAAAAGAATATTTTAATGCTGAAATTCGGCCATCACACCATTAATTCTACTGAATAAAATTTAAATATATTTTATTGGCGACATCAATACTGGAGTTAAAACTCATTCTAAAGTTTCTGAAATGTATTCAGAATTTTGCTGTTCTGGTTCATGAGAATACTAATGCGCCTGTGAGGAAAAAAATTCTTTTACGTATCACGAAGCAATTTAGAGAAAAAAGAATAGTTGTAAGCTGAGTTCAAAATTATGAATGATCACTTTTATTCAAAGGAATTTAACTGTTGATAGTTGATGCAGAGTTTATGGTTCTTAGTTCTCATTTTATATCTAAGAGACATTCTATTATTTATTTATTTTTTATTTTACAAGTATAGTGTCTGTTTTGATTTTGTAAGTTAATTTAATGTTTTGTTCTTATAAACTTAGTTTACTGCTTTATTTCCGCAAGTTTATTCTATTAATAATAGCCCCTCTGGCTCCTCTGGGCTCTCTTCATTTTGGCATTTTGTGTCGTCCACTATAAAACAGCGTTTCACTTTTCGAATTGCTGCCACATATAAGAGCCCTGCATTATATTTAAAGAAATTAAATAATGAAGAAACTCATGA